GTTAAGGAGAATCAACACAAAATGCTGAGAGCAGCTGGGACCATCATTTCGTGCCTGGATCAATCGTGAGGGAGAATGATAAGAAACATGATGGACGAGCTGCTATCGGCACGCTTCCATCGACGAGCTATTCGAAAATGACGGGAAAGTGATCTTAACGAAAACGAAAATTATTGCTTAATAACGTTTTAATTAATCTCGAAAATTATTACGAAAGTTAGAAAATCATTTTATCCCCTTTCGTAATCAACGAATCAAATATCTTTGCTGATTCGTTTTTCATCTTTGCACGTTTAATTTTACGACGCAAATATACTTCAATAGGTGTAAACAAGTTAGTTTCTTCTTTATTTTTTTTATTTTTTTATTTTCTTTTTTTTTTTCTTTGCTTATGTTTCTATTTCTTCAGAATTATATTCTTTCTATTTTGTTTGTATTTACGTTAGTCGTAATAGAGCGAAGGTCGTTCAAGATTGAAGATTATTCCGTCTTAACTCAAGTAACGTATAATTATATTTATTTTATCTTATTTTTTAATTACGTTAGACTTATCTAATTTTTTTAGTTACGTAATCAATATTAGCTTTGAATAGATACAAATCTAATAATACGAATTGTTGATGCGAATGAAGAGATTGATGTATAATATTAATTCGTAGTTTTGATCTTCTCGAAATATTGAAATGCATTGTGTGAGAAGAGTACAAGGAAAGTGATGGTGTTAGTAAGGAATAACCAAATTTAAGATCTCTTCTTTTTCGTAGTTGGTTCTCCTCGAATGTATAATTAATCGGTGTCTACGGGAAGCAGACAAGGCCGACAGAAAAATCGACGTTCTATCGCGATGACGGATGGCGGTCGTATCGACTCTCATCCTCGTCGGTTTACATATACATATACATACAAACGTATAAGGGCGCATATTATATAGAATCCATATACATACATATATATATATATGTATATATTATATATATTATATATATTATATATATATATGTATGTATGTACTGTAAACGTACATACAGAAGCAAGTACCAATACGCATAGATATAGCCGAGTTATCTATTAAATATTCAATTATTTCTGTCTTCCGCCTCTGACATTTGGAATTCGCCCAACTGCCCCGAACCCGTCTCGTTGCAGAGCTTAATCCCTATTCATAGAACCAATCGGATGATTTCGAACAAATCCTTCGAGCGTTCCGCTAAATCCGTTGCAATTAAAATACTTTAATATCCTTTGAAGCACGTACCTGCCCCAGGCTTCGTCTCTTCTCCTTTTCTCTCTCTCTCTTTCTCTATCTCTCTCCATCTATCTATCTATGTATCTATCTATCTCTCTCTCCCTCTCTCTCTCTCTCCCCCTCTCTCTTTCTTCCATCATAAATTCGTCCTGCTGCTTCCCCCAGTCGGCCCTTCTCTTCATGGCAACCATCGACCAGAGAACTTTCCATCGCAGATTCTTTTTGGAACGGTTGCTCTTATTAAACGTCCCAATCGAGATGCCCCGAGGAGGCAGCACGTTCGTTTCCTTTCAAAGCGTTCTTTGCCGACGCTATCTCGAGAAAATTTCGGGTCTTCAATTTCTCGGACGGATCGACGGGAATATGAAGCGTTGTATAAACTCTGGGACGTCCAATCTTTGTGGTAAATGTTTTTCTACTGCTTTCTTTTCTCTCTCTCTCTCTCTCTCTCTCTCTCTTTCTTTCTTTTTCTACGCCTCACATAAACGAGCTATTTTTGTATGTTTGCTCGACTTCCTACCCCGAAAATCGTGAGTGTCCTGTGGAAATAGCCAGTCATAATATAATGTTTATAAATTGTTCGTTCCTACATACGGGAATTGAAGAAATAAAGACTAATAGAACGAAAGAGAGAAGAGAAAAACGGGGAGAAAGAGACGGAGGGTAGAGAGAGAAAGAGAAAGAGAAAGAGAAAAGGACATATATTGCATTATTTGTCCGTGACGGTCTTAAAGTACATATTGTTATTTTTATGAAATTCGGATTTATTCTCTTATCATATATGTATTTCATTATTTTTTTGCATTTATTTCACACAGGGATGTAGAAACGGCTCTCTCGAGTATCATTTCAAAGCGGTATCTATAACCCAATTTTAAGGACGTATACATATATAATATAAACGAGAATGTCGTTTTTGACGAGCATGTCGTCGCGAAAAAAAAAAGGAAAGAATAAAAAAACAAAAAACAGAGAAAAATATAATTACGATATTAATTAGCGAACATCTCTAATAAGCAACCATAGGAATAGAGAGATGGGAAAGAGAGGGAGTGGAGAAGGAAAAGAGGTAGTATATATAATTCGCAAACGAACAATTCGCATTTCAAACGATATCGTTGAATTTGAGGATCCCAGCGAAGGACGCGAAAAGGGCTGACATAAAATCAGGATGTAATATTCGTGTCATAAAGCACGCTGTCAGTTCGAATGAAGAAAAAAATTTATCACTGTTCGGTCGAACGATTTGTCAGGGATGATACGTTTGGTCGAGGGACATTTCGCGAGAAACGTACGGGAGCGTCAGCTGTGCGAAACCGCCCAAGGGATAGGAAGTTCGATCCCCTCCTGAATCGTTGTTCATTCGAAGGCACTACCATATAATGGGGGACTGTACCATAGGATTCATAAAGTTCATGCATACCGAAAGATTTAAATCTTCCTATTATCGTGCATCGTATCGTCTAAACTTTTATTTTTCATTTTTGAGTTCTTTTTTATTTTTTCTCTCATTTCTATTTCTCTCATTCTTTTTCTTTTAAAATCCTTTTGAAATGTTTCATGCTAGAGTATAATACGATTTTTCAACAACGATAATTCTCTTTTATATTTTTCCAACATTGTTAATGACAATGGAATTAGTGACTTGAATTTTCTACAGCTCAAATTTAACAGATAGTAAGGAGAATTAATAATTTATTTATGTATTTAAGTTATTCAGAGATTGAACGTCGCTGTACATCTAATTATTCGATTACGAAATATCTCGGCGATTATTAAAGCGAACATGAGGAACATATGTATTTAATTCGTAACGGAAATGACTTTGAAAATAATTCATAAGTATGTATTCAATATATTTGAGTCCGATCTAGTAGATATATATTAAATGATAATAGCAAAGCAGGTGGAACGTTTCTAAATGTTGTATGATATACCAGATGATATTAATATCAATACATTTTATTAATTTTATCGGATTATAAATATTATATTATACGATCGTACAATCGCGTTATGATATATTTATGTACATATATTTTATTATTTTATACAATATCGAAGTATCAATAAATACGATATAATAATGTTAATCGGAAACAATGATAAATTTCATTTAATTGATTTGAGTGAATCGTTCGGTGCAGTCCTTCTCTGTAAATGATAAGATCGTCGCACATTGATACGAGTTATACCTTTTCTGATTTAACGTCGGTATTCCGGGAATGGATAGAAAAAGCGTCGTTAGAGTGTCGTTAGGAGACGAAAAGTTGGAAGAAAAAGGTATCGATATTGTCGAGTCGAAGCGTTAGACGACGAAGAGAAACGTCTTTTTTCGAGAGGAAAAGACAGAGATGGACGAAAAAGTTTTTGCGTTTACTTGTAAATCTTTCGAGCGTGTTGTTTTCTATGTCTATCCCATTAATTCGTCTTTGTATTTTAGCAGTTTTTCACCTTTTGTTTCAGACAATGGACTACTTCCCGTCGAGCAGAGCGATGACGGATGGTTGAACTTTACAAAAATCACTCGTGCCGAGAGCGGCTGGTACAAATGTTACACTCGGCACATGCTCGGAATTTTCACCAGTATTGGTTATTTTCTGAATGTTCGCTGTGAGTAAAACGTTACTGTATCATAGAATTAATCGATCGATCATTAAATGTGGACGAAATAGGGGAAGGGAAAAGTGAGAGGAAGGCAAAATCTCGTTAAATGGTTACTTCAACCTCGTCCCAGTACTCGATCAATCGTAGATATATATTCACGTTGCAAGATCATCTTGTCATTTGCATGGTTATATCACGATTGCATAAGCAACGTATGTACATCGTGATCTTCGAATATCGAAGGAAGAGAAATTATCTATTAACTCCTCGTTCACTGCGTCTACCACTCGAAATACTTTAATCCTCGAACGTACGAAGCTCGTATTATCGGCTTCTCTTCGCTGATTAGCGAACGGTAAGCTCTCGAGAAGATAGCAACGTATGGAAAGCAATTTGTAACGTACAGTGATAATTGGAGCGGGAATAACTTTTGGCTTAGAACTTGTCGGAATCGAATATACGTACATATATGTAATATTATATACTTATAAATGAGCAAAGTAGATACCTATGTATGTAGATCGCACGCGATTTTTCATTTTCAAGTTAGACGCTTGAACGACGACGAGGACATTTTATCGAAGAGTTTGCTTCCCAAAGCGACACGACTTGCGAACAAATTCAACCTCCTCGATCTTCGCGTCGTCAGTTCTCTACAACGTCGTATTTCATGAGAAAGCTCGTAAATATGTCGAGATACCGCTATCTCGAAATATCGCTCGCATCTTCGAACGCCGTTCGAAGAAAAATCAGAGTACGTCGATGGTAGCGTTGTTGCGCAATCGAACGAAAGATGCGATGGACCGATTATTCTCTATACACTGGTACAAGTACTGTATACATGTCCCATGATCGTCGTTGTACGATGGCCAATAATTCGGAAAGAAAATAGAACATAGATCTTAAGTAGATAGATGAACGTTGGTATTGTCTTCTAGTAATAATCTCTTTCCTTCTTCCTCTCTTTCTCTTTCTCTCTCTCTCTCTCTCTCTCTCTCTCTCTCTCTCTCTTTTTATCTTTTAATCTCTATTTCATACATCGTAGATGTTATGTATTATATGCTTTATCCCATCTTTGGCTCTTCCAATTCTCGGAGAGAGCAAGAGGAGAGATTCTCGCTGATTCGAAATGCGAAGCTAGTCGTCGTGTCGACCGATAACCGGAAACCACAGTCATTTGTCAAGGACGGAAACCACCGAGCCAACCGGAAATTATCCGTGCCTCGTCGTGAAAATTTGCAAATTTCCTACCTGGTCCCCATCCAGTCTCGTTATAACTAGAACGCGACCCTTGCATCTCAAAGCTCTTCCAACCTCTGCATTTCCCAGCCCTCTCTCTCTCTCTCTCTCTCTCTCTCTCTTTCTCTCTCTATCCCTCTATCCCTCTCTCCGCCTAGCTTTATATACACGGAACGTTCCACTCTCGTCTGTGTTTCCTCGCCCGACGATCAGGGATACGGGCTTCCGAGCACCTAATCTCTACGCAATTTGGATGGCTCGCGAGTGCCTGTAAACTAACTGCTACTCTACGATGGAAATTATCGATTACATGGATAACTCAGTCCCATACGGATCTCCTCGTGGATTACTTATCCATGGATTACGTTACTATGATACGCGTTTTCGGCTTAAATTTCAAATTGCATACTATTTAGTGAAGAATGAAGGATAAGAACGATGACACAATAACGATCACGATGTAATTTCGTTTCTTCCAATGACGTTAAAATGTTTTTCTTTATTTGCGTTGTAAATATAGGTATATGTTTTATTGCACAAATTTCTTTCTCTCTCTCTCTCTCTCTCTCTCTCTCTCTCTCTCTCTCTCTATCTCTCTGTCTCTTTCTAGACATTTACTGAGAGAATCAAATAAAAGAAAATTACCATGAACATTTTTTAGAGTATTTCAGACAGACGGTTTTAAATTCAAGAATAACGAGAATACGCCGAATAAACGTTAAGAAATGCTAAAATTTATTTCTTCCCCCTTGTGAAATAAAAATAAAAAAAAAAAAAAAAAAAAAAAAAGAAAAGAAGAAAAAAGAAAAAAAAAACCTGCTCGAGCCAAATTCCGTTTCTCATCTTTCCAACCCCCTTTCAACACCCCCATCATCCTCCTTTTACTTAATTCCTGCTTGTTTAAAGTGTCACTAGCGTGTTTGCCGTAAAATTCCGAACAAACTGCAAGACAAACGAGTTGTAAGGTGAAGGGAGTGGTATGAGTTTCGATGGGTGGAAGAACATAGAAGGAGAATGGAAGGGGATAGGTTGGAATGCCTCCTCCTATCGTCGCAGCCAGTACTTTGATCCCTTTGTTTTGCTATAGGATGAGCCAGAGGATCAGCTTGCTAACTCAAAGGACTCTTTCCACTCTCTCCCTCTCTCTCTCTCTCTCTCTCTTTCTCTCTCTCTCTCTCTATCTCTCTCTCTCTCTTTCTCTTTACTTCCCCATACCAAGGAATAGTCTTTTCTCGTTTTTCTTATTTCATCGTCTCGAGCGAATTCCAACGTACCAACTCGGCTCTAATTCTCAAGTAGAGATACGAATATCCACGCTGATTCCTCTCTCTTTCTCTTTCTCTCTCTCTCTCTCCCTCTCTGTATCTATCTATCTCTCTCTCTCTCTCTCTTTCTTTCTCTATCATCCTCTTTATCTCTCGTCTCTCTCCTCTTCGATCCGTAGATGTGGACACAGTGTTAGCTGAAGAGCAAACGATCGTAGTCGTATAATTCCGTAGGTAGAATCGGAAAAGGGAGGTATGAGCAAGACGTGGCAAGGCGTTCCAGAGTCGCGGCCGCGTATAGAAAGGATTTCGTTGAACTCGGCACGCGAGGAGGAACGGATAGAGAACCATTGCTCCGAGTTTATCCTTCGTACGTGCGGTTGGTTCCTGATGTCGAAGGATAGCGTTGATATCGATGAAAATGGCGGTCCGTTGTCGGCACTCGACGTGTATTTCAGCGTGGAATAGGATTTGGACCTTGGCGACGATGTGAAAGCTTCTTCCTAAGCTTTTCCATGGACTCTCTCTTTCTTTGTTTCATTCTTTTCTCTCTCTCTCTCTCTCTCTCTCCCTTTATTCCTTTTTCTTATTTTCTCGAGTGAGAGAAAGAGAGTTTAGGAAATTATTGGAACGACAAAGAGCACGCGCGAAGTATTTTTCGATTTCACGTTCGTAGGTATGTACGTATGTTCTAGAAACGCAAGAGAGTATATTTGTTTTATGTTGGCGAGCCATCCTCGAGTATAGTTTTCCATACGTTAGACTCTTCTATTTCCGAATGCAAATGTAACGCGATGGGAAGAAGTGGGTACTCCGCTGCATCGAACGTTCTTCGCTGCTCGTCGAGAGATTTAAATCAATGGCATTTAGATGATCCAGATATGGAGACCGAGGCAGAGGCGTTGAACGGAGAAGCTACCGATTCAAGGAGAATGGAGGTGCAGATTGGCGGGGCGGTGACTCTCGAGTGTGACGGCGGATGCTGGGGTCACGGACCTGGAATGGATCCAGTAGGTGGACCAGGTCCTCTTGCTTTGAGCCGGGTCGTCTATCAGGAAGCAGGAGAGTATAGATGCGTTGCTCCTGATCGAAAAATGCAGGACACGTGGAGGGCTCAGTTACCTTACCATATTAAGGTCACCGGTGAGTAATACGAAATCTTTTTCCTTTTTTCTCTACCTTTCTTTTTTTCTAAACTAACTTAAAAATCTTATGTCTACGAGGATAGTGTAAACTATTGAGATTCCAGATAGATGTAAAAGATAACTTATACAAGCCCTGATCTATGAGAGAAAATTTACGAAAATTCTCTCTTTCTACAAATCGAAAATTATCCTTTATATACGCAAAATTCGCGCAAGAACGACATCCTCCACCTCTTGTTCAGAGCGACAATCGCAACGACTTCCAGTTCGAGTTCGAGGTTAGAAAAGCAGTTTTCTCGATGCCAGGGCTGAATCGAGAAAGAACGGCGACGACGATAAAATCGGAGCCATGCTTGCTCTAGCCTGTTTCTCCATCTCCAATACACTCCCCTTTCTGTCTTTCTTTACTTCTCTCTTCTTCTCTTTTCATCCAAATATAAGATCTCCCTCGTCGCACGCTTGCCGGAACGAGCAGTCAGAGTAGAAGTAGTCGTTTTCGATACGTTCGCTGTGGCGCTGTCTTTACGGCACACCAATTCCCATTCCGCGTCATAAACTTGTTTTCCTTCCGCAGTTGCGAACACGTATCATGCGTGCGATCGTGTGCACGGACACGGTCCTACTTTTAGAAATATACGAACAACTTCGATCCCTTCGATATACTTTTTTTCTTATACTTTCAATCGAGAAAAGGGAAGCTCTTTGATATTTCTATGTCGAATTCCAATTCGAATTCTATTATAATATATCAATAGAGAGATAAACAAAGCTACTCGTGAAGTTTACCTTACGTTGAATTTTCCCTGACGCCTTGTCTCCTCTTGGAAAACTAATAGAAGAGAAAAAAATGTGACACGGTGAAGAAGCCTTTGAAAAATATTCTTCTTGTTACGAACGTCGAAGGTCTCGAGAGTCTTTCCATGATATCGAATATCTTCTCCATCTTTCTCTTTTCTTCGTGTCATCGTTACCGTAAGCAACGAAGCCGGATACTCGTTTCTTCTTCCTACTCTTTTTCTTCTTCATTTTCCTCTTTTTCCTTCCTGTCCTATTTACGCGTCGATGATGGATGCAGAATCCTCCTCGTTCTCGGTCTCACCCTCTCCTCTAACATTTCCCTTCGAAGCAATCGCCGTAGCAATTCCGGCTTCTTATTGATTGCGGCTCAGGCAACTCGTGCGTGTAAGGTGGCTCGCTCGGCCGTAAGCTCAGGAGAAGACCGAAAGAGCTTTCTACGTCCTTTCCAACCGGAATGAAAAGACACGACGGCCCTCATAAAAATGATTTCTTCGTAAGTCCTCTCATTCGGATTATTCCAATATTCCATTTAACCACTAACACCGCCAATGTCTTACCACAGTCATCTCTATGATAGCGCATATCGCCTTGAGTTATCAAGAAAATAAAAAGACGACAAGCTTTATAGTTTTTCTCGACTTTTCTCGTACCACTTTATTCCTACGCTTACTTTTTTTTTTCTTTCTTTCTTTCTTTCTTTATTTCTCTCATCCATTTTTTTTTCCTTTTTTTGTCTCTTTTTCTACATTCTATTTTTCAAATCATTCTGTCGTCCTTCCTCTTTTCATTTATCTTCCTTCTTTGATTTTAATATCATCGATAATTTTTTTCCTCTTTAACATAGATACCCAATATTATCTCTCTATCTTTACTTTCTCCTTTTTAAATATCCAATAGAACTTAAAATACTTATTGAGTTGTACGATTTATAGGATACTTCTAACACACAAATATACCGTAGGTAAACGTACGAGATCGAAAAAGGAAGTCGTACATCATCGTGTACAGATCGAGTCGCGAAAGATTCGAGAGAGAGAGAGAATCCAATCGGATTTCTATGTATCCTCGTTATACAAACGGCATTATTTTTCCTGTCCTCGCACGGAAAATCTTTACGCGAAAATCAATACCGTCCCATTTTCCATTTCCATCGACGCGAGCTTCGACTCGAAGGAAATGCAAATGGGTACTTGACAAAAAAGAAGATTTTTCGGATAATCCTGGATATTCTTGATTCTATATCGACCCTCTTGACTTAATGTACTTTTCTACGACGTTTATTCGATATCTTTCTATCTCGCTTGAGTATAATTCGTTCAACCTATTCCAACTTGCAGCATTTTTCAAATTGGCATACCGGACGAACAAGTTTTTCTTCTTGTTGATAACTAGGCCTCGAAGATAAGGATACCTACGTACGAAGGATGACGATACAAAGTTGAAATATGAAATGTTTCAAAAGTTTTTAACTTTCTTCTTACTTTTTAATATGGCCAAATGTTGATGGAATCGAAGATTTATCCGTCGTTGCTTTCATTTAATTCGGACGAGAGTTTAGGTTAATATCTGTCATTAAAATCGATATTCAAAGAAACCAATATGTACGACGAAGAGAGAAAAGATAGAAAAACTTTGAAACTTATCATCTATTAAAATTGTTTCAGCCTTTTCGTATATTTTATTTTAACGTTATTTTTTTGAAATTTAAAAGGTAATATGTAAAGTATGTATGCGATAATTTGATCAAACGAATGTAAAATAATTTATTTATTAATTGTGCATATGTGCGCATGCGCGCGCGTGTAAGTGTCATAAAAACACGATGGTATAATAATTAAATTTTTTCTATAACAGTAATAATATAAATTATTTATTTTGATAGCGTATTAATTAAATGCATATATAGATAAATACGAAGGTTTTGATAATCGCTTAACAATAGAATTCATTATCTGCCTATATTTATTCCATATCACGAACAATCAAGCTTTTACGGAAATAATGTTATTATTATTATTGGTGTATTGATTTGCAATGCAAGAAGAAATAAAAGTATTCCTTGCATTCATTATTTTTATAGAAGCTTGTTTACGATTACCTATAAACAATTCTCAACAATTACTTTCAAAGTCTTGTCTGAGAAAAGCCATATAAATCTCGAAAGTAAAACAACAACATCGTTCACTTTCGATTGAAAAGAAAGAAACATTTTTCACAGCTCGTTGTATCTCATTGAATTCATAAGTACGAGTTAAACAATGAGACTTTTTAAAACGTTCCCCTTATCTTAAATATTTCTCATTTTATTTGACGAATAAAATTTTTTTTCCTTTTTCCCTTTCAACATAATTACACAATAAAAATTAACTGTAGAAAGTTATATATATATATATATATATATACATATAAAAATTTTTTAATTAATGTTCCTTGGTCTTTATTACATCAACTATTTTATATACTGCAAACTAAATCGTTAAATATTTTCGATGAATTTTAGTAGCATAAAAAGAATATTTTAAGTAAAATAATATCGATCTTCTTATCCGTAGAAGAGTAACGCGATGAATTAAAAGAAGATGAGAAAGAAAAAGTGAAGAGAAAAAGAGAGAGAGAAAGAGAGAGGGAGAGGGAGAAAAAAAGAAAAAAGAAAAAAGAAAAAAGAAAAAAGGAAGTGGAATCCGAGAGGACGTAACGGGACGTTCGTTCGAGTCCGGACAGGACTCGTTAAGCCTTCGTTAAATCTTCACGACGTGCTGGACCAAAGCGTATCACATTCTTCCGTCTCCCTTTTTTCTTTCTTCCCGGACTTCGCGAGCGGATTACGGAACGGCGAACGACGGATTCCAAAGTTACACAATAAAACCTCAACGCACAACGTAGTTTTCTCATAAGTGGCTTTTGCCGAGTCGACGTTCGTCGAGCCATCTTCGCCATCCGGATTTCTTTCGGCATGCCCGATAAAACGGCAGTTACATCGAACGTGCTCGAGGCGTATTTCGATACCGTCTATTTCCACGTTATCTCGCTTACCTTTTTCTTTTCTGATAAAAAGGAACATTCTTTCTCTCTTTCTCTTTCCGTTGCTCGTTCAGTTTTTGAAGTCAAGTTTAATCGAGGACCGTAATCGTCTACGAACGCTACTTCTTGCAAACTCTCTCTGATATTGCTCCAATCCTCTCTCTCTCTCTCTCTCTCTCTCTCTCTTTTGTTATCTCTCTTTCCTTTTCTTTCTTCGCCGAAGTGTAAGTAAAAAGAAGAAGTACATTCGCGAAACACAATTACATTTATATTAACTTGCTCGTAAAGAAATCCCGTCGGAGGTAATTCCGTCGAACGTAAAAGGCACAATCTTGTACAACCTTCCTATCTTTTTTCTTCTTTTTCTCTCTTCCTCTCCCCGCCCCCCCTCTCTCTCTCTCTCTTTCTTTCTCTCTTACGCTATGTCAGAACGCATGAATAATTCCGCTAGTGTTTTATCACTTTGTCAAGATGCAAATTAATTTGCCGGCTCGGTACCGGACTATCGGCCATGCGAACGCTTTATAAAAGAAGGGGCTAGGTGTTTGAATGATTTACAAGAGGGATACGCATAAGGGATCCACCAAGAACAAAGGCATGATTCCGTGATCAAAGTGCTGAAAAGAAGAAAGAAGGATCCTATCGTCGAGGATAGAGGGATACGATTCCTCTATCTTTTTCTCGCTCTCATACATTTACTCTCATCACAGCCGGCCGATGATAGCTCAAGGCGTGCCGTGAATTTTTTAATAAGTCGAAATTTCACTCGAGGCGCTGTAAACGATAGTGGCGTGAAATTAATCGAGCACCAACACGAGCTCGGGATTGGCTTATCTCTCTCATTCCTCTCTTTGACTTTTTAATCTACGTCCCGCTGCGAAAACGACCGGATTTCTCGCTTTCGAGTTGCTCCGCTCAGCTCAGCTCCGCTCTGCTCTACTCTACTCTACTCTATTCTGCTTTACTCAATGCCTTTTTCCAGACTTTTTTTTTTTGTTCTACCTTTTCTATCTCGCATGATTCAATTTTCCCTTTATATATATATATATATATATATATATATATACATATATTTATATATATATATATAGATACTATTGCTATATTCCCTTGGATATTTCTCTTTCTCTTTTCCGTTCACGTAGGATACCATCTTTACGTCTTTATGGGCCATCGTTA